TATTGTTCTTAGGTGCCATCGAGTTGGTTATGACTGATAGTGACCCTATGTACTACAGAATGAAACACTGCCCTGTCCTGTGCCATCCTCACAGTCGTTGTTATGCTTGAGCCCATTGTTACAGCCACTGCGTCAATTCATCTCGTTGAGGGTCTTCCTCTTTTTCGCTGACCCTGTACTTTACCAAACACATCCTTCTCTAGTGACTGGTCCCTCCTGACAACATGTCCAAAGTATGTAAGACATAGTCTGGCCATCCTTGCTTCTAAGAAGCATTCTGGTTGTACTTATTCTAAGACAGATTTGTTCATTCTTTTGGCAGTCTGTGGTATATTCAATATTCTTCGCCAACAGAATTCAAAGACGTCAGTTCTTCTCCGGTCTTCCTTATTCACTGCCCAGCTTTCACATGCATATGATGCAACTGAAAATACCATGGCCTGGGTCAGGCGCACCTTAGTCTTTAAGGTGACATCTTTGCTTTTCAACACTTTAAAGAGTTCTTTTGCAGCAGATTTGCCCAATGCAATGTGTCTTTAGATTTCTTGACTGCTTCTTCCATGGGTGCTGATCGTGGATCCAACTAAAATGAAATCCTTGACAACTTTAATCTTTTCTCTGTATTTCATGATGTTGCTTATTGGTCGTGAGGATTTTTAAAAAATTATTTTAGAAAAGTAAAAACTTATGCTCACACAAAAACCTGTACATGAATGTTCATAGTAGCTTTATTTGCAACAGCTAAAAACTGTAAACAACCCAAACGTCCTTCAATGAGTGAATGGTTAAACAAACTGTGGTACAGCCATACAATAAACCGCTACTCAGCAATAAAAAGGAATGAAGTATTGATATACAAAAAAATATGGATGGATTTCAAGGGTATTATGCTGAAACGGCCCCTGGATGGTGCAAGCAGTTAAAGTACTCAGTTGCTAACTGGAAGGTTGGACGTTCAAATCCACCCAGAGGCACCTCAGAAGAAAGGCCTGGTGATCAACTTATGAAAAACCAGCCATTGAAAACCCTATGGAGCACAGTTCTACTCTGACACATATGGGGTTGCCACGAACTGGGGTCGCCATGAGTTGGGGTCAACACCACAGCACCTGGTCTGAGAGAAAAAAAGCCAATCTCAGAAGTTCACACATTGTGATTTCATCTACACAGGGGCCTCGATGAACTTCCCGTGACTGTATAATTATTTCAAAACAAACAGTTAATAAAAAATGACAAACCAATCAAAATCATAAAAGACAAATGTATCTGAACACTGTCTATTCTATTACTGACATATCTATTACCTAGGAGCGCTGCTAATATCTGTTTGCAAAGACTCATTTGATGACTAAGCAGTAATTTACAAAATAATCATGTTAAATATTAAAATCAGTTTTTGAAATTTATGTTATCTCCACAGCATATTTTTTAACGACAGTGAATCAGGATTCACTGAAATTTAACTGAAGTTTATTTGCTGCGTCTATTGCTGTGAAGGATGCAGTTCTACCTCCATCCCAGTGCATTCAAATCCCTGCCAGTGTGAATCTAATCTCAAAAAACAACTTCTGCATTAGGAAGTTTTCTTAGGAAAAAAGTATTTGGGACACAATAACTAAGTCTTTATAGATAAAGAACTCACACAAAGTGGTAAGGAAAAACACTAAGATGCTGCCAAATAAATGTATAAAGGACAAAAACACAAAAATCACACACAAATATAAACATAATACATATGATATGCAATGGGGGCACTCAGTAAATATTTGTTGAAATACCGAATGAAAAAGGAAAGTTTATTTGGTGACAGAGATGGGAAAATGTTCAACTTCACCAGTTAACACTGAGTTAGAAAAAAGCGCCTATTAAATTACCTGTACCCCCACCCCCATAAATAATGGCCGGTGCTGGCAAGGATGTGATAAGCCCCAGCACTCACCAGTGGGGCATGTAAACCGAAAGACCTTTTGGAAAGCTCTGTGGCACTGTGAGTCAAGAGCCCTGAGGAGGCCTCCCACTTGCCTGTGAGCTCCAGGACTCAACAGGATTACAGATCTGAAGATCTCTGGAGCCTCAGCTCCACCTTCTCTGGGCAGATAAGGAACACAGGGACTGCTGAGCTCTGAACGGCGAAGCCAGGTTATCAGCCCCGATCTTTTTCCGTTGCACACAGGGGTGTAGTGCCCTTGCAACCTCCTGAGCCACACTCATCCAATCTATCTGAACACTTTCCACTGTCTGAAGAATCCAAGCACTTGTTTTTATTAATTTACCTGTTCCCGTGCATTAAACTTAGGAGCACGGCAACTGTGGGTCAGGGAGAGTTTGCCGATGAGGCGGCATCCCCACAGACAAAGAAATAGGATGCTGGTGTTACCAACTGGGCCACCACTGACGACAACCTGCCCAGGCTGCAGAGGCCATGCAGTGCTGTCAACTGGTGCCAAGTAGGACTAGAAAGTGAAGGCGTTACCCTCCTCTGGTTGCAAATCCCCTCCCCGAGGCGGTAGGCCCACATTCTGGAATTCTCTGACTGCTGTACTGCCCATGACTACAGAAGAGTCCTCATGAAAGATGTAGGGCCACCAACTCCCACAAAAAAAAATCTGCCTCCTCACTCTCCAAGTTAAACCTACTTTTCCTTAAGTGCTAAATTCAACAAAACCAACTCTGTTTTTTCTGTTTTACTCACTTGCGAGACCCACTTCCCTCCTTCTTGCTAGCCACTGCCACTCCAGGAGAATTGCTGCTCCTCTCTGCCTGCTGCCTAGGAGACCATCTCAATGATTATTTAGGAATTAAAGAGGGCTTGTGCCAGCCGGGAAATCTAACAACTGTTTCCAGGGGGAAAATGCTGTTCAAGAACGAAACAGCAACTGCACTGCCGATAGAAGTTTAGTCACAAGACCCTCCCTAAGATTTGGGAATTTTCTACATATAAGCCCCCAGGGCAGTTAATCCAGTGCTGTGAGCTCAAGGGAGGAAAAATGCAAACCCCTTGAGGGTCCATCTCCAGGTGAAGCTACTGTACTAGCACCTATCCTATGCTCAAGAGGCTTGGAGTCGGTTGTTGCTGGTTAGCATAGAGTAGACTGCCTCATGGTGACTCCATATGTGCACAGTAGAACTGCTCCATAGAGTTTTCAAGGCTGTGACCTTTCAGAAGCAGATTGCCAGGCCTGTCCTCCAAGGTGACTCTGGGTGGGTTCAAACTGCCCAACTTTTGGCTAGTAGTCGAGCGTTTCACCGTTTGCACAACCCAGGGACTCCAAACCCCACCATGTGGCTGCAAAAGTCACAATGATGAAAAGGATGAGGTGTGGCCAGGAAGAACAAGTATAGCAGGAGCAGAAGCTCCAAGGGGGCAGGCAGTCTCTAGAGGCTTGTGAGGAAAACATTCAGGACAGAGAGTCCTTGGAGAGCATCATCTAGAAAGATGTTAAAATAATTTACTTACTAAGTCAAATGTGTCACGGTTCAGGCAGTTGAGGGATCCAAGTTCGGGTGGGCAGTGAAGCATACAGAACAAATGAACGGTCTCAAAATGTATTCCCGTCAAGGGCCAAGATGAATGAATAAGTTTTAGGTTTAAAAATAGTGCGTTCCAAAACAAGAAAGAAAAAGTCCCAATGAAAAATAATAACTTGTGATACAGAATCAAAGCCAAGAGGAATCTCACTGCTGGGAGGGGGGAGCCAAGCTGGGTCCTTGGCCTTCAGACTAGGCGCCGGCACGCCCTGTGCTGACAATGAAGAAAGAATAATGGCCCAGAGCTGGCAGCTCAGCTTTGGGGCAGCCGCGGGTGAAAACACCACCATCTCCCTCTACCCTAGACGTGTGAGAGGATTCTGGGATTATCTGGGAAGTACTCAGTACGAAGTTAGGAATGTGCTTTTGGAGAATTCCGTGCAACACGCTTGATAAAGTCCTCAGCGCACTCCCTCCGTGGACATCACAGCACCCCTGATCCTTGCTTACACGGCCTACACAGCCCAGCCTCGGAGAATGTCCACTCAGGTTGCTGGTGACCGGGCGGGAGGTGCTAGAGCCCCGCGGGCCCACCTGCCCATCTGGGGAGGGAGGGGAAGAGGCTGGCAGGACCTCCCCCGGCGACCCTGGTCCCTCCCCAGTGGCCGCCGCGTCCCCTACGGGTTTCGGGCCGCGGGTCCCTGGGGGCCGCCCCGTCAGCGCCCCGGAAAGGTGGACAGCCAGGTCGGGTCCTAGACGCGCCGCTGATGCCTACGGTCAGGGGGTCACCCGCCGCCGCGACCCCGACCTCACCTCGACCCTACCCGACCCCAGCCCGGCGTCAGGCGGCCGAGGCGGGCGGTCCGGTCCCAGGGATCGCCGGCGCACTCACCGTTCGCTTCCGCCGCGGTCACCCGCGGGGGCGCCTACATGCCGGGCCGAGCCCGC